TGGTGGTGGGGGTGGTTGTAGTGGTGGGGTTGCTCTGGGGGTGGTTGTAGGGGTGGGGTTGTTGTTATTGGTGGGGTTGTTGTGTTGTTAGTGATATAAGTGTGAATATGTATTTTAATATTTCTTTGTATAACAAATGCGTAAATATAAATAAATAAATAAATAATATAAATAAATAAAAAACAAAACAAATGAAAAAATAAATAAATTATTTTTTTTATATACACACGGATATTTGAGATGGCTCGATCCCTTCGCGCTTGTATAAATATTACACATAAATAAATAAATAAACTAAACAAGATAAATAAAAAACAAATATAAATCAATATAATTTATTTATTTTATTTTATTTATTTTGTTTATATACACAGGTATGTAGGTGAAGGGGCCCGCATGGTGCGGGAGTTGTTTGAGATGGCTCGATCCCGCCGCGCTTGTATTTTGTTTATCGATGAGATAGATGCAATAGGGGGCAGCAGAGGGGGAGAGGGAGACGGGGCCCACGGAGACCACGAGGTCCAGCGCACCATGCTAGGTACTCTCAACACACCGTGCTGCTGCTGCTGCTGCTGCTTGTTTTCTTCCTGCTGCTGCTGCTGCTGCTGCTCGCTTGCTTCTGTTCTTTTCTTTTTTTTTTGTTTTGTCGTTTGGTGTCGTTGGTTTCGTGTTTCTGTTGCTTTTTTTCGTTGTTTTAGGGTTTAGGGTTTAGGGTTTAGATTGCTGGGCGAGGTGGCTCCGCGTTATGCTGCTGCTGCTGCTTGTGCTGCTGCTGCTGCTGCTGCTGCTGCTGCTGCTGTTTATTATTATCTTTCGTCTGTGCTTCCGGATTCGCGCAGTTCCCCTTCTGCTCACCCGGCTGCTGCTGCTTGTGCTGCTGCTGCTGCGCTTGCTGCTGCGTATGCTGCTGCTGCTGCTGCTGCTGCTTCATATAATGCTGCTGCTGCTGCTGCTGCTGCTGCTGTTCCTTTATAGAAATAGTGAACCAGCTGGATGGGTTTGAGGCTCACGGGAACGTGAAGGTGTTGATAAAAACTAATTCCTTTTCTCCTTCTTCTGCTGCCGCTGCTGCTGCTGCTGCTGCTGCTGCTGCTGCTGCTGCTGCTGCTTTTCTTGTACAGAAATAGTGAACCAGCTGGATGGGTTTGAGGCTCGCGGGAACGTGAAGGTGTTGATGGCCACCAACCGCCCCGACACGCTTGACCCCGCTCTCCTGCGGCCGGGCCGTCTCGATAGAA